CAGTCCCTCTGCATGTCCTCAGTCCCTCTGCATGTCCTCAGTCCCTCTGCATGTCCTCAGTCCCTCTGCATGTCCTCAGTCCCTCTGCATGTCCTGACCCTAAATATCTAACCCTTTTATTCTCATTTATTCACATACGTGGAGTGCTTTTATTTTGAAAGGCTTAGTTTAAGTTTGATTTGTGAGAAAAACTAAATTAGAAAGTGAAACAAAGCTTGTGTAATCTGAGTTTCTGTTAAATGATGGGTTTTTGTTTTTATTGAGAAGCTGCAGCAAATATTCAGTTTAATTCATAAAAAAATCTAAAAGTCTTTTTACTGTGAAATAAAACCTGCTCTGTAGGATCATATCCTTTGTTTTAAACTATTTCTGGTGCTTTAAATCATTTTTCTCATTTAAAAGCACTCCATTATTATTTTGGAGGTGTTGTTTTTAGTTCAGAGGACATGCAGGCAGTCTGATCTGTGTTTGCTCCTTTTCTTCAGCTGCTTTTTAACTGCTCACTGCTGCGTTTGAACCTTTTTCCTGATTTGAATAAGTTTCCTCTGGAGCCAGACGTTCTGCAGCCCGTCCTCCTGCATCTTGTTGCTGTTTGGACCCGGTCAGACCCGGATCACAGCTGAGAAACAAAAGAGTCTGAATCCCTCTGATTCAGACAGCGAGGGAAATAAATCCTTAAATATATAAATCCTTTCTGCTGCTTTTCCTTGGAGGCCTGGTCACAAGATGATTTGATGGGTTAATCCTGAGCAGAGTTAAATGTGCCAGGCTCTGGAGGTCTCTGCTGGTTTCTGTGTATCTGAGCTGCATGGATGTCCTGCAGCTCTCCTGTGGTTCAGCTCAGAGAGCTTTGAGCTGCTTATTAATTCTAATGAAGAGTGTCTGCTGGTGTGCATGACTCTGATCTGCTGCTGGATTCATCAGAAGGAAACCATCAGATTAAACCAGCTGAAAATATTCAGTTTGTTTACTGGAACACATCTAAAATTTAAAGTTCTCCTGACTAAACTGCTGAAGAGACCCAACATGTTCCAGCTTTTAGTGTCTGATGTGATGTGATGTGGCAGACCTGCAGACCCCTGATGGAGCAGCTCCAAGCACTGAGCTTCTGAGTTTAGTTTAAACCTGAGGTTCTTAACCTTTTTGACCTCAGGGCCCAATCTGTTGAACATAAAGAGACACGAGGCCCAGTCACACATTACCATACGGATCAACATGATAATTATTATAAATCTTGGTTTAATTTGTGTTGTATTTACATTATAACTAAATTAAATACACTTACAGTTTAAAAGTAAAACTCCTGTCAAATAATCACAAGACATGATTATGACAAACATTTTTATATTGTAACCTGCCCATAACAATTATTTGAACAAATACAAAGGTCAGTCAACAGACCACTCAAGCATATCAGCACAAAAAATATACATATATTTTAACATAAACAATAACAAAAATAGACAATTCAAGAAATACATTTGTGGTTATACTATAAATACATTCAAAATGTGCAATGTAAATGTTTCAAATAAAAATAAATTTGATAAATTGCAAATGAAAATAAAGCCTTTTTAAACTTTTGCATGGTAGAACCAGAAGCTGCTCTTCATATTAGTGACAAACAATAACAGTAACAACAGCTTCTTGTTTAAAGTTTCTATATAATACATTCAAAATGTTTAAAAATAAACTACAAAAATTAATTTGATAAAGTGCAAATTAAAATATAGTTGTATCTGCAACTGTATTTGATGTTTTGAACTTTTAAAATATTACAAGGTAGAACCAGAAGCTGCTCTTCATATTAGTGACAAACTTTGGTGTTTTTTGATGAGTTACCTTTATTTTTGCTTCTACTTTACGTTTAAAATAAGTTTCCATTCTCAGCAGGTTTCTAAGGTTCTTCTTCTCTGTATTAAAAAAGTTGTTAAACATCTGAGTGGTGCACTACTGCTACTAGTGGTGAGAAAGTGTATTGCACCTTATTAAAAATCAATGCGGTCCCGTGGCCCTCTGCAGCCCAAAGTTAAAAACTGTTGTTCTTTTGAGGCCCTCAAGGTGGCGCTCTTTAAGAATCTCTGTTTTAAAGCATCTTCAGGTTCTGGAACCTGACCGCTCCAAGCTTCCTGTTTCACATCTCTGACCTCCTGTGACCCTGAACTCAAACAATAAGCATAAGAACAGCTTCAGGAAAAACAAATCAAAGGCCAAGAGAAGATTTAGGGAATAAAAAAGGTTTGAAATGAAAAAGGTTTATTGCTCTTATAGTCTGAGTCAGTTGGGTTCAGTGAGTCTTTATTAGATTTATTTAGTCAAACATATGTTTAACAAATGTTTATGTTTAGAGGAGAGCCATGCAGAAAAAACATGTTTGGTGAGGAGCAACCTTCATACTGTGTGCTCACTTTTTATTTATTTATTTTTTATTTTGTACCTTGTTGTGTTGACGTGTTGGGATGATCTGACCCCAGACATTTGTTGTTGTTTTGTGGATTTGCACCAGATGCACCTGAGTCGTGTTCCCCTCAGCCCCCGCTGCCTGTTTGGTGTCAGACGCTTGTTGCAGCAGCTCCTGCAGATGTTCTCTGACGCTCCTTCTCTGTTTGTTTCAGATTAAGGTGGTGAACGCGTTCAGAAGCTCCCTCTTTGAGCTGGAGAGCCCACAGTCCCGTAGCTCCATCCATAACTTCACGGTCCATCCAGAGTTCGTTCCACAGTCAGAGGAGGAGGCTCGCATCTCCGAGGAGGCGGAGACCGACATGGATTTTCTCTCCTAGTCCTCATCTTAGGCTGAGGGGGGAGGAGAAGCACCCCGCGCCTTCTCAACACAACCACCCTCCTCCTCCCTCCTCTTCATCAGCTCCCCGCCAACTTAACTGTCACTCAAAGGAGGGAAGCCCCGCCTCCGTTCACTCTGCACCCATCCACACCTCACTCTGTGTTCACCTGTGTTCTGCCACGTTCTCATTCTGACTGTAAGTGTGTCCCTCCCTCCGCCTCCAGCACACCTGTTCAGTCCAGGTGACATCAGTCCCCACATGACAAGGCCTGTTCCTGTTCATCTCTTAGCTTCGATCTTTTTAAAAAGTTTTTTAGGCTCAGCATTTTACCAAGCGTTCAGCAGTTTTTGTTTGCTTCATTCCTTTTGTTCTGAAAACGGCACTGAACTTTTGTGAGAGCAGTGACGCTGATGTTTGTATATTTTGATGCAAAACTGTTTTCTTTTTCTTTTCTTTTTAGATGTTAATTATGTTTGTTTTTAAGACATCTAGTTCCAGTATTTTGTCATTTTTTTTCAAAATTTAAAGATGACAAAATGAAACTGCGTTTTCTCAGCCAGAGTGAAAAACGTAAAATAAATCTTGTTCTTGTTACTTAGAGTTTAGCAGCCTTATTGCTGGTGCACATTCTGGCTGTTCTTGGTTTACTGGAGCTGTATCTTGTTCCAGAAGGCAGGGAATCGAACAGGTTGTGGGCAGAGTGAGAGGAATCTTTCTCAAAATTAAGTCTTTCTTCTTGCATCTTCGTAAAAATGGTCTTGGTGACGTTCCCAGTGGTTCTCACCACACTGTCTGCTCGACAGCAGGAAGTGATGCAGTCTGGTGCTGCTCTCTGTAGTGTCCAATTAGAGTGGTGAGGATGGAGGCGGGTTTTAACAGCCTGCATCCTCTGCTGAGCTTTCTTTGTAGGTGTGAGGTGTTGTGGTGTTGGTCCTCAGTGATGTGGACTCCGGAACCCCCCAGACCTGGAGCTGCTATCAGTAAGAGCTGCAGCTCTGTAAGATGTTTCATCATTGCTGCAAGTCCACCACCATCATGTCTTCAGCAGAGTCCAGGACTGAGTACACATCCCTGAGGAACCCCTGCGCTCAGTCTGTGGAGCTGCCAATGAGTTCTGTGTGTTTTCAGTCTGAGCCAAGGGCCCAACTGTAAACCCGAGTCCTGGCTCAGGAGTTCTGTTTCTCTGGGTGGGATAAGATGGTGCTCCGTCCGTGTGATGACATCATCTGTGGAGCGGTTGGCTCCAAGATAAACTGTCGGGGGTCCAAAGAAGGCTTGAGGCTGGTTTTAATGTGCCGTAACATTCATTACACGACTAAATGAATGTTCCTCGATGGTAGACTCACAGTTCTGAGAATGTCTCGTTAGTGCGACACTACAGTTCGTCAAGCGTTAAAACTGTTCTTCCTCTTGGTGTGTTTGTGTGAGTTTATGTTCCTTCAGTTTCCGTGATGCATGTGGAAGAACCGAATGTTTACTTCTAAAAATGACCAAACATGACCGCATCCAGAGAGGGCTTGGTTCTGATCTCATCTCATCCCGTTAGGGTTCTGGTTCCTTCTTCCCCCTCTACCTGCAGTCTGTAGGAAACAGGACCGTGGTCCGTTTTCTGTCCTTCATGTTGAGTCTCCAGAACTTCTGAATGAATATTGGATTATTTGTTAGTTGGTTCAGAGCTCCATCAACTTCCTGTCTGTAGAGCCCAACGTCCTGAATGTCCAAAGGACCGGAGCAACTTCACGCTCCTCTAATAGCAGGAAGGAACCCCTCACTGAGTACCTGTTAGACCTTCAGACCACCTCCCTCCTCCTCTGATCCAACACCGGTCCAAACCTGTCCCCTTTAGATCTCACCCCCTGTCTCAGCTGAGAACACTGAGTGCAGATTGAGCCATGTAGGAAGTTCAGTCCAACAGACAGGAAGTTCAGTCCAACAGACAGGAAGTTCAGTCCGACAGACAGTAAGTTCAGTCCAACAGACAAGAAGGCTGTGTCCAAAACGGTGGGCTGGGTCCTCCGGAGGACGCAACCTACCCGTCGAGGTGGGCCA